TGTCAAGTTTCCAATCATTGGTCAACTGGATAATAGGATCCCTAATAGGCTTGTCATTTCGAACCAGCATGGCTTAGTCTGGCTTAGGTGACAGACCTATGCAATAGCCAGCAACACTCTCCACCAACCATCAGGCCTTGTTCCTTCTGGAATCATCAATCTTATTTTTTCTGGTTTTTTTCTTCTCCCTAACTCCAATATTGTGCCCTATTATTCAGTTTTAATCAAATAAATAAAACCTGATCCTCACCTCTGATATATCTAGATCAGGTGTTGTGACCACTGTTCCAAAAACTCTAAATAACCACCTGATTTTCATATTGAAGAGGTAGAAAGAGAATAATATTCTCTTTACCCATACTCAATGATCTGAAAAAACCATTGAGGGTCCCCCTCTAAAGCAAATCTTGTCTAATAACTTTCATGTTATCACCAAAAATTTTTTTGGTGATAGAGAAGGCATGATTATGGGCACTCCAAACCAGAGACGAAGAGGTTACAAAGCTTGAGGTAAAAGGATTTTCTCTCTCGGATATAAGAGAGAGGGACAATATATTTTAGTACTCAGATGCTTATTTAACTTTCTCTATGTGTATTTGCATGGGCATGAACGTATTAAATGCTTAATGCTTGCTGATTTTAGTCCTTTTTGGGTTAATAGATGTCTTTCCTTACAGTTCTGTTTCAGTTACTTGCTTATTTAACTTTCTCCCCCTCCCTCAATTGCAGCTCTATGCAGTTCAGTTTCATCTGTTTGTCACATGTGTCTTGTTTCTTAGTCGAGAGGGATTCCGCCGTGCCTGCATGCGAGCTGAAATTAAATGGTAGATCCTCATTCTATTGTAAATTTACCTATGTATATATAAGTTTCGGCTGCATCTATTTAAGTGACTGATGCCCGATTGGCTCAAGGCTTACTACAAGTTTGTATTTGAGTGATATGTGAATCTGACTGGCTGTTTACTCGTGACTGATAAAGAGTTTGCTCTTGTTTTATCATGTGTAGATCTGTTACTTTCTTGTTATTTTCAGTTAGAGATTTAGAACCAAATTTCTTTATTTAGTTAAAAAGGTTTTAGTATGTTTGCTCAAGTTGTTGTAAGTTGGAGGAATGTGGTAAGTTTGTGTTATTTTGTTTCAATTTAGATTTTTTAGGTAAAGGAGAGTAGGAAAACCAACATAAGATGAGAAACATTTGTATAATTAACTTTAAATTTTGAGAGAGGAGTTGTGGGCTTGGGATGGGATGTGTAAAAAGAACAAATTGTTACGGTTAATTTCACTTTCTATTTTTGGGTGTTGTGGAAGGAAAGAAACTTGAGAGCTTTTGAGGGTATTGAGAAAGAATTTACTGCTATTAGAGATAATTGGATCCACTGTTTTGGTTCTATGCTT